ATTTCCTTTCCAAAACTATCGTTCTATTCATTCTATTAGTTTAATCAATTCTGCATTCATGTCAAACTCAACCAGTGATTTTACAATAGCTTTAATTGATAATATATCTTCACAGCTTAATCATTATATAACATTATTTGTTTTTATATTTGGTATCATTGGAAATTTATTAAATATTATCGTACTTTCACAACCAATCTTACGTCGTAATCCATGTGTTTTTTATTTTCTTGGTTCATCTGCAGCTAGTCTTGGAATTATTCTTATTGGCCTTCCATCACGTATGATTGCTGGAAACGTATCATCAGATCCAACAAATACTAGTTCTTACTTTTGTAAATTACGTATTTTTCTTCTTTATTCATTTCGAACAACATCTACTTGGTTATTAGTATTTGCTACTATAGATAGATGGTTTTTAAGCAGTACTAAAATTCATAGACGTCGTTTAAGTTCACATAAAATTGCTTATTATAATATTATTATTATTTGTTGTTTATCATTTATTCTTTGGATTGAAGCAATTTTCTGTTATGATGCTGATATTGATCAAGCACCTATTAGATGTTATGGAAAATCGAATAGTTGTCGAATATTTAATGATATTGTATACGCAAGTTCAACGGTTGCTATACCATCATCGCTTATGTTAATATTTGGACTTTTAACTATTCGTAATATTAATCGATCACGTCGAACATCTCGCGTATTTTTCAGTCCTATTTCAAGTGTTGGTCAAGGTAGTAGTAAAAGACGAAGAAGAATTCGACGCACAGAAGTTTCTCTTACTTGTATGTTACTTCTACAAGTCATTTCATTAACACTTTGTTCAGTACCACAAGCAATACATCAATTCTATTTAACTTTTACAATTGATATGGATAAAAATCCATTACATAAAGCTATTGAAAATTTTATTGTTAATTTTAATTTTTCACTTACATATGTTGGAAATGCAATTCCTTTTTATATTTATACACTTAATAGTACTGCATTTCGTCAAACATTTATTCGTCTTATTCATTCAACCATTCGACAATTGAAAATATATTCATCTTCAATTTTGACTCGATTGATTGTCTGTCTTTTCATCATTTCTTGCCAAAGATAATTGCCAATACAATTATTATTTTTGTATCCGAAAGAAAAAACAAGAAAAGAATACTATAGACTTTATTAATACAAATAGATTATCTATGACATATATAATAGAATCGATTTTGATTGTCAATGTTATAATTGTTGTGTTGTTTTTATGAAATAAAATTTATAAAATTGAATTAGTCTTTCGTCTGGAAGTTTCAAATATAATTGGACTTAATATGGTTTTTTAAATCATATGTAAATACAAATAAAGACTTTCAAACAATTCATTATATAGAAAACTAATAATTTCATCTCTATAATTAATCTTGAAATTTCCCTATGTTAGATATATGTCATCAGAACATTTGTTCTTAATTTAGAAAGATAAACTATAGCAAGTTCATCATCAGGAAAAAAAAACAGTTAATGAGAAAAGATTTTTTTAAATATACTATTTTCATCACCAGATGGTTTTGTCGGAATCAATTAATTAACTACAAATGAATAAATAATTTATTTTATTATTTCCGGTATAAAAATGCAATAAACTTAAACAATAATTTTTCAACCAATAATAAATTTTAAATAGAACTATATTAATTGTTCTCATATTTCAAAATAGTATATTTTCTAACTTTAAAAAAAAACAAAGCTCAAAATTATCATGTGTAAAAATAGTGTTCTTCAAATATTGGGAAATCTTATCTTTTATTTGCATATGTTTTTAGAGTATAGGTTAAAAAATTATCATTGAATACTTTATAGATTCGAATCGATTGTTATTTAGTATTATATAAGTTTGTATATACAGGTTGATTACGTTATTTTTAATAGTTTTGTGTAGTTTGCTATATTTACGTAGCATAGTGGAAGTTTCGTATTTTAACACAGTTGGATAGAGCATCGACTACTCTATCGAGCCATATAATTTACATTTTACTTGCTCTGGCTCTAGACCAAAAAATTGATATATCTCATTAAATTACAGCTCTCCCACAGGTATATGTCATGTCCAGGCTTGCCGACTAGGGGGGGATTTCTCCACGCTAAATTCGGATCCTTTCTGCTAATTTTTTTCCGCTGTATTTCTACGTTTTTCTGCTGAAAAATATTTTTTCTCGCTTTCGTACAACCTATATATAAACAAAATTTAAGAAGATGAATTTCTCAAAATTTCCTCTCCGCGATGCATGCATACTTATTGATTAGTGGTAGCAATGCGAACAGTTTAGTCATTTTATCCCTCTTTCTGGCAAAAATAGATAGATAGCATCAAGAATATATTTTCTGCAAAACTCCCGCAGAAAATCAACTTGAGAGTACTTTTCTTTGGCAGAAAGCTCATATGTAATATTTGCCTAAAATTTTTGGTGAATTTCGGTCTGCTTTACTGCTCATTGTCGGGTTGTGATTTCAGCTATGTCCAATATACGACGTGTAAAAGTGAATTGAACTTATTTTATTCAAAATAATTTATATTTCAATGAACCCATTCGTCATCGGCACAGTGAACAATAAATATGTTATATATAAAGTGCTGCCAATGCGAATTTCAAGCAAAATTTTTTTTTTCACCTTTCTTTTACATCATTTGATAGAGTGTGAGCTGCTGATAACGAAAAACTACTTTTTAGCGCCAGAAAATGCTTTTTCCGGATCGAAAAATACCAAAAAACACATCGTTTTCAAAATGTGCAAACTTTTCTGCTTCCTTCTTTTTTCCAGCGTGTAAAGATATTTTTTTCAAATTCAGCATAAAAAACTGAGTACCGACAAGTTGTTAGATCGAGTCCAATCTAAAGAATTTTTTGATGATGGTGTTTCGAATCGCGCCGAGTGCAATACGTATACGCCGATTTTGTAAGCCCATCTAGTTTCTTTACGTAAGAGATGAAGTCAAATATTTTATCTCATTTAACTCATCATACCATCAGTTACAAAAGAACGCATCGCATTTTTTTTTTCTTTTTTTTTCTTTGTTGAGAACTGTTTTTCTGAATTTTGGGCTAAATAGATAGAATTTGACTCGTCTTTCTCCATTTTCTTCATAAAAACTAAGCTTTCGTGCAATAACCTTATCATGCTCGGAAGCACCGCGAAAAACTGAATCGATTAATGTATGTTTCGAAAAATTTCGTTACCTTTAATTTTTTGATGAAAATTTCAGCCAGGTCTTCTCCGAAAACTAAAAAACTGAAGTCAATGGAAACGGTTAAATCATATATCAATCGATTCAGTTTTTCGTACTGATTCCGAATATGATAAGATTATTGCATGAAAACTTAGTTTTTATGAAGAAAATGGAGAAATACGAGTCCAATTCCATCTATTTAGCCCAAAATTCAGAAACATAGGTTTTTCTCAACGAAGAAAAGAAAAGAAAAAAAAACGCGATGCGTTCTTTTGTGACTGGTGGTATGATGAGTTAAATGAGATAAAACATCTGACTTCATCTCTTACTTAAAAATCTAGATAGGCTTACAACATCGACCAATGCGTATTGCACTCTGTGCGATTCGAAGTGTCATCATCAAAAATTTTTTTTGAGATCGGGGTCGGTCTAATAACTTGTCTGCACTCAGTTTTTGATGCTGAATCTGAAAAACATATCTTTAGAAGCTGGAAACAAGAATATAGTAGAAAATTTTGCATACCTTGAAATAGTTTTTTTTCGAAAAAAACGACGTCCTTCAAGTTTTTCGTGATCAGCTACCCACACTCTATCAACTTATGTAAAAAAAAGGCAAAAAAAATTACTTGAAGTTTGAATTGCTCGCACCTTAAAATGGCTTCATTTTTTGAAAGTTTAAATATATTTGGAAGTGTCTTTGCTTTTTGACGAACATGATCTTGTTTGTTACTCTGAAAAGATTTCTCGATGAACTAAAAATTGTAAAAAAAATGACTTTCTGCCAAATTTTTATCCCCGCCACTCCTAAAAACAATCGACAGCCCTGGTCATGTCTTTTCGCTTCCGTTTTCATTTGATCGTCTCGAATGGATTGGCAATACGTTTCCAAATATTACTTTTAATCATGTTACTTGTTTACAGGTCTTCGATTCGGTTGCATTTAAACATGAATTCTTCATTCGAATTGCACGATCTTTCCCATTGCTTCAGGAGTTCTTTGTTTTAAATTGTACATCGCAATTCTTGTTTTGGAATTGGAAAAACTTGCAATTTCAAGATTATCAATCATATTCAATTGTTGAATTTCCTCATCTTACATCACTTAACATAAGCCATGCAGAGATTGATTATGTTGAACAATTTCTTAACAGTACTAAAACTTATCTACCTTGTCTCACTAAATTGGAAGTAAATTATGACAACTTAACATATGTGACAGAAAACTTTACAAGAGATGCAACACGAGTCAATTGTGCTAAAGTGAAATGGTTAATTGTTGAAAGGTCAATAGTTTATTTGAAAGATGTTCATCTTTACTTTCCTTCATTACAAATGTAATTGTGATGTAGTAGTCAGAGATGCCAGATGTTCCGGATTTTCCGGAAAAATTCCGGATTTTTAAAGTTTTTCCGGATTCTTTCCGGCCTCCGGATTTTTTCCGGATTTTAGCCATTTTTTATTTCAGTTCTATTTCATTCGTTTTAACATTCTAAATTGTGAATAATTCGATACAGATTTAATATTTTCTTCTATTGGTCATCTTACACGTCTAATTGCTTTTTCTTTCTCGTTGTATTTAGTTTCAGGATTTTTAATGATTAGGGTACACCAGCAGAGCAAAGTGTACGTACATCCTGTTTTCCAAGAATACACATTGTTTCCCTATGAAGTACACTCTGAAAATAAAATTTTTGGCTTAGCAAAGTGTACGTGTACACTGTGCTTCGAAATCCTATTAAAAATGCTGTTCAGTTTCTCGTCTCTCTTCTCTTCTAGTTTCAGAATGTCTGATGAAAATGAAGGTGTAGAGATATTAGAAACAACTGAGCTATCACCAATACCAACAGCAGAAGTAACATCACCTGATGATGATAAAAAATCGAAAGATAGAAAAAAACAAAGGAGTTTTTCGATGTGAATAGTTAACTGAATTTGGTTTTTTGAAAGAATATAAACCAGATAAAAGTAAAGCAACATGTATGGCATGTAATAGCCAATTTAGTGTTCACTATGGTGGAAAAACTGATGTTGTACAACATTCAAAGAGTAAACAACGTAAAAGGAATATGTTAACATTTAGTGTTGATCGTCAATTAATTACCATAAGCATGAAACCAACAGAAATTTATAACGTTTTCTTATCGAAACCAGAACTGCTGAAACTTATTCATTGTAGGGAAACATATTGTGTCAAAAAACAACGTGTTAATTAACTGTAAATTGAGTAGTTTCTAAGTTATTTTCTATAAGTTAATTGTATTTAGGTGGTTGTTTTTTCTTCGTGTAATTAAAACATGTTTTATTTTGTTAAAAAATATAAACTTATTGATAATATATCTGAGAAAGAGGCTCTTTACGTGACTAAAACTGCTCCTTGGAAACCTTTCCGGATTTTTTCCGGATTCTGGAAAAAAGTTTCCGGAATTTTCCGGATTTTGAAAAAAAAATTCCGGAATTTCGACTTTCAGATCTGGCATCTCTGGTAGTAGTACATGATCAATGTGTCTTTTCTGTTTTGTTTTTCCTATTTCTTTTCGTTCTATCTTGGCAGCATGCCAAAAGTATATATATACATATATGTATTGTTTTCTTCTGTTCTTTGATCTTTCTCTTGATCTTAACTTATATTCCTTATTGTTGATCGAGGTCAAACAAACATTATATTTGACTTTCACCTTGTTCTATTACGCAGTAACATTGTCTATTACGTAGTAATATTGTCTGTTACGCAATATATATATACTTTTTTGGCGTAATAAACTGGGCATTTACGTATTCACTTCAATACGTGAAAGTAATTATTCTCATCATTTAAATAAAATGAATGATAAAAAAATTCTAATATTTTGGAAGATTGAGTTGAAATGAACCAATACTTTACATATTAAGATATGTAATAGACCTTGTATCGTTTACTTATTTACTCTTGAAAAAAGAAAAAGAAAAAGAAAAAGAGAAGACTTCTATTTTTCGTTTGTCATGAATCGTTAGCAATCTGGATTTGTTTCTCTTTGTTAAAGATTTCATCATAGATATTTTGTATCTAAACAATATGTTCAATATGGTTTTTTATATGTCCAAAGAAAGTGAATTCATTATATCATACACTTCTTAGGTATACTTCTTTATGAATGTTTCATATGAAGTCGAGAAAAAAATTTCCTATATTATTTCATAGAAAAACTCTACCAAAACGTCATTGGTATAAATAATTCTTTGGAGATTTTAACCTTCATTTGAATATATATATGGTACTTTAATGAGTAAAAAATATTTTTTTTAAACATGGAAACCTTGTGATAAAAAAATATGTGATATATTTCTTATCGTTAGTAGAATCTGCTATCAATTTCTTTATTATCAATTTGATGGTGTCTTTAACACATTCGACCCGATGTAACCCACCGGTGGGCTATGCTACAGTTTAACGAGAAACTGTATAGAAAAGCATTTTCTTTTGCTTTTTTCTTAAGTAGGAGGCTAAATATAAGGAGTCAACTGTGCTGCCTTTAGTACTTTATTTGAGTTCTTTACTCCATAGCATAAAGCTTATCATTAAAACACTCAAGACAAAAAAATTTATCACAGTCAGAACAGAAAGTTTTTACTTTCTTTGCTGCCGCACGGCTGGGTGTGGGTGTAGGTGTGGAAGTGGGCGTGAATGTGGATGAATATGTGAATGTCTACACCCACACCCAGCCGTGCGGCAGCAAAGAAACTAAAAACTTTCTGTTCTGACTGTGATAAACTTTTTTGTCTTGAGTGTTTTAATGATCAGCATTCTGCTATAGAGTAAAGAACTCAAATAAAGTACTAAAGGCAGCACAGTTGACTCCTTATATTTAGCCTCCTACTTAAGAAAAAAGCAAAAGAAAATGCTTTTCTATAAAGTTTCTCGTTAAACTGTAGCATAGCCCACCGGTGGGCTACATCGGGTCGAATGTGTTAAGAATAACTTCATTAATAAACATATTGAATGATGACCTTTAAAAAACATGTCTCTATTACATAGTAGCTATTTGCTTGTTAAAAATTTGCATGATTCATCTACCTAACAAGACCTATATAATTGCATTTATATAGAAACACATAACTGAGATAAACAATTCGATAACTAATTTATAATATATCTAAGTTCTATTGTATTTTGTCAAATAAATGAGAACAATAAAGTTGATAGGTCGATATTGATGTATCATCCAATTGACGATTTTCTACTAAAAAAATTCTGGAGAAAAAAAACACATGTATGTATACTGTCGACATTTTATTTTATGAAAAGATTTTATCAGTTCGACATGATTTAACTATATCGACATCATCAATAAAAGTTTATTTAATAAATAATTCAAATAATGTTGGATTGATACTAATTGATCAAAAGTTGATGTGCATATGTTCTAAAAGAAAAAAAAAATATGTTTAGTGAATGTTAAAAAATAATCCTCATATTTACTTTGTTCTTCTTTATGCTTGTTGAGTTTTATTTGAAGATCATTAATTTTGATATTCATTTGATCGGGTATTACCAAATTATTTTGTTTCATTCATCTGTATCTTCCAATAATGTTTTCAATTTTCTTTCACCTTGTTGAAACTAAAATAGGGTGTGGGTGTGGATGTACGTGTGGGTGTGTTGGTGTGGGTGGGTGTGGATGTGGGTGGGTGTGGGTGTGGGTGTGGGCGTGGGTGTGGGTGTGGGTGTGGATATGCTGTTCCTCATACCCACACCCACACCCTCACCCCACACCCACACCCCACAACCACACCCACACCCACCCACCCACCCACACCCTCACCCACACCCACACTCCCACACCCACCCACACCCTCACCCACATCCCACACCCACACCCACACCCTTTTACTAAATTTTTTTTCTAATGATCAAAGTCATATTACTTTGTTCATATTTAAGTTGTCGTAATTGACTTTGATGATTCGTAATTATTGGATGCAATTTGTCAATTTTAGCTTGATGATATTGTTTCATTTTGGTCCAATCGTAACGTAATTCTTTCAATGTTGTTTCTTCTAGACCAATCTAAAATGAAAGCTTATTTCCTTGAGTGCATTATGAAGCACTTCTTACCCATGTAGCTAATTCGTATAAACGACATATTTGCTTTTCTTCTTCTTTTGCTTTATCTTCATTATCTAATGATTTATATAAATCATCTAAAAACATATGTTTTACTAATTATTTTAAAGCAATCTTCATATTTACTTTGTTCTTCTTTATACTTGTTGAGTTTTGTTCGAACATCATTAATATTGATATTCATTTGTTCAGGTATTACCGATTTATTTTGGTTCATTTCGATAATATCATTCGATAATTTTTGCAATTTTCTTTCACCTTGTTGAATCTAAAATAAATATTTATATTTTATTGAGCATATTATGAAGCATTTCTTACCAACACGAGTAATTGATAAAAACGAAACTTTTTCTTTTCATTTTCGGTTTTTTCTTTTACATCTGTTAAATTTTCTAATAGATGATCTAAAAAAACAATATATTTTATTGATTATTTTAAAATAAATTTCATCATTTACTTTCTTTATTTTTATGTTCACGTAATTGTTTTTCAAGATCAATAATTTTGTTTTTGATTTTACAAATATTTTCTCCATCACGTTTATCAATTTTGGCAATATTATCATGTAATTTCTTTATATCTTCTTCCTTTTGAAGAATCTAAAATAAAAATTTATGGTTTTTGTGGAGATTATAAAGTACTTTTTACTAATGCAGCTAATTGATATAAATGTATTTTTTTCTTTTCTTTTTCCTTTTCATTAACATCGACTAAACTTTCCATTACCTGATATAAAACAAAACATGTTTTACTAATTTTTTTTTCTAATGATCAAAGTCACATTACTTTGTTCAGATTTATTTTGATTTAAGTTTTGTTCATGTTTTTTAATTGCCTCATTTAATTCGGCAATTTTAGCTTCATAATATTGATTTTTTTCGTGATACCATGATTTAATTCATCAAATGTTACTTCTGCTCGAACAATCTAAAACAAAAATTTGTTTTCTTAAGCACATTATGAAGTACTTCTTACTTTTGTAGTTAATCCGTTTAAACGAGATTTTTCTGTTTTTTCTTTTTCTTTATTTAAATCGGCGAATTGTACAGATACATCAACTAAAAAAAAAATTAAATTTTACTAAATGTTTTAAAATGATATTCATCATTTACCTTCTTCTTCTTTATATTTGTTTAATGTTTGTTTAAGACCATCAATTTTATTATTTATTTTACTAAGTTCTTCCAATGATTGCTGTAATTCATTTTCGGTTTGAGGAATCTAAAATAAAACTTATCTTTCATTAAGCACATTATTAAGTGCTTCTTACCAATACATCCAATTGATCCAAACGCATTGACAATATTTTAGGTGCTAAAGAAGACGACATGTTTTCGAAAGCTGAAGAACAATAATGACTATTTGTACATATGTACATATGTATATATATACGTAGATAGCCATTGTTCTTCTTTACCGTTCTCCTCCACTATGTCGATATTTTTCTTCTCGTCTAGTTCGACTATTATTTTATAGAGATAAACTTACTTCATATTCTATTATACTTTTGTTCATATTTCTACCAATAAAAATGAATCATTCAATAACATCATCAAATAAATATCGTTTGGCTACTGGTAGTTTTCTATGAGATTAAGGAAAGTCTAAAAGGAATTCAGATTCGTGGCTTTGCTGTACGAAGATTTGACCTTTTACAATTATTCATCAAATAAAGATTGTATATTGACTTTTGAATCTCCACTTCTTGAAAAAATAAAAAAAAATAAAAAGATTTTTCTTAGAATTGGAGACAGAAGACCTCATTTTAGGAACACTATAAATACGAACGTTTTTAGAATTTTCTTAGACTTGTAGTGGTCTACTCATGGCTAGGATATGAAGTCCAATTAGAAGATGTATCTTCGTGGAAATCTCAATAGATATACTTGAAATCATAATAATAAAATTTGGATAAGAGCTGTTTTTGTGTACAGCTGCAATAATATAAGGGGCAGATTATGTGGCCACACTTTGCATATCTTTCCATTCCAGCTTTTACTCAGTTTATAGGTCTTATTAAAAAAGAAAATATGCTATTAAATATAGTGTGAAAAAGTGTACAATTTTTAAATAAAAGCCTAGTGATACTTTAGAGAAGGAACAAAAATTTCTCTTCGTATAAAAAGAATAATTCTTTTCGGGATAATCGGACAGAATGTTCCTTTTCTTGGAAACAAAAGTAAGCAATTAAAATAAGCGAGCTTACAAAGATTTTAACGCCTTTCACGGTGCTTCTTGTGCCGTATTGTTGCTAAATAACAGATATAAGGTGATAAAACGATGAAATAAGAAAAAGTCAAGTGAATTCATAGCAAAAAAATATCGTTTTAGAACGATTGAAAATTGGTTACTCAACATTTTGCTTCTTATGAGAACAAAGAGTGTAACTATATAAAATAAGCCTTCCTATGTAAACTTCAGAGCTTTTCACGCTTCATCTAGTGGTATATTTTAGTTTTTCAACTAAATCTATTAAGTAATTGAAAATTGAAATCCAAAGCATGGCCTTTTTCTTGGTCTCACATATTGGCGAAGTTGTACACGAAAACAGTTCTTATCAAAATGTTACTTTTATCATAATAACTGAAAAGTGACGAATACACAGAAAAATAGACCATCGTTTTCTCTCTTACTACATAAAAAAAGAAAATCTATTCAAGCTTTTTATTAAAGAAATACGTTGATAATATCGCTACTTTTGGTATGCCCTAAGGATCTCATACTCATACTGTTTCTTACAACATATACTGAATCAAGATTAAGAATCGCGAAATAAAGAAGGAGGAAACCGTAAGCTGATTATTTTTTAGACTAAATATTTGAAAAGAGATAAAGTGACTACTGCAACAGCTCAAATTCGAAATAAGAAAAACAAATAAACTAACCTATTTCATTGTGTTGTTGTTCATGCCATATTTAAATATTGTTTTAATGTCACATTTCATTTGACGTTCCATTCACACTATTTTTGTGTCAAATCATCAATTAGTTTGTGTTTCATATAATTTTGTTGGCACCAATCTGTTGAGTGAATGTATTCATACAATTGGGAGATAGAGAAAAGGATCTGCCTTGATGTTCTTGCAAAATCTAAACTTTGTTATGAAACGAATGAATATAGTGAAGAGCTAATATATGGCTAAAGTAAAGAGATAGAGTATTCAGAAGAAGCAAAAAGACTTATCTAGGACATTAAATTTTCTTTCTCATCAAAGATCTTTCACGACGATCGCACTCTCTCACTGCAAAACAAGCTACAAAAATCTGAACGAAAATGTTTGGTTCTCTTCCTCATGAAAAGAATATAATTAAGATTAGAAGATATAACTAAAGAAGAGGGAATAAGACTTAAAAAAAGCATATCTAATAACTGTATTCACCAGAGATGCTTCATTATGAACCACATAAATAACTGAAGAAGAAGACACAAGGCTAACGAAAAATATTTCATTGCTCCTCTTACGGAAGGTATTCAATCAACATCAGAATATGTAACTCATGAATAAGCAAAAACATTTAAACGAAAATATTTGCTTGTCTTTCTCACAATGGACATTCAGTTATTATCACGCTAGGTAACTGAAGAACAAAAGAAAAAGAATTAACAGAAAACATTTCATTCTCTTTCGCAGGATAGATACTTAAGAGAGCGTCCATGAGAGCATCAAGCATACGAGGCACTCGATAAAATTTTTTTTTCGATTTTTTTTGCTCATTCAAAACTTCAATGTCTAAAACTACTAACCCTAAAATTTTAGGTTCTAATACTCTTCTTATGAAAAGTTAGCCAAGACCAACTTTTGGCACTATCGGGCCTTTTTGTGGAAAAATAAGAAAAAAATATTCTATCAAAGATCTGCTAGCTTGTGTTTCAGCAAATCATTGAAATTTTTTATAGCATACATAGAAAGATAGAGAATTGAAAACTGAATAAAATGAGCTAGGTTGATATAATAATGGCTAATAATTTAAGTTTTATAGAGCGAAAATGAGTCAAGGGGTGATCCTTTTGCTCAGTGCAAATAAACAGTATAACTCGTGCTGTGCTTCAGGATTAAGAGAACCCAGGCTGAATTTTATATATGTTGTGCAGTTTTTTATTCTCTACAAAATGGTAAAAAAATATTTGAGAAAAAGTTTTTGCTCGATGCAAAAAAGGGTTTATACTGTCTAATTTTTTATAGTTTTTGATGGTTTTTCGATAAAAAACGAATATTTTTAGAGGTTTTGTTTTTGTCATAGAATAATGCTAAAGCAAAACAAATGTGATATTCGGAATCAGCGTAAAAAACTGCATCTAACCATATATATTTCGCCCAAAGATTTTTCCTAACCAAAATGGACCTGAGGGGGACCAGGGAGAAAAATTATTTTTAATATAGCTGTGGGGGACCACAGGTCCATTTTGGTTAGGAAAAACTTTTGGGCGAAATATATATGGTTGGATGCAATTTTTCACGCTGATTCCGAATATCACATTTGTTTTGCTTCAGCATTATTCTATGACAAAAAAAAACTCTAAAAATATTCGTTTGTTATCGAAAAACCATCAAAAATTAGGCAATATATACCCTTTTTCGCAAAGATGAAAACTTTTTTCTCAAATAGTTTTTTACCGTTTTGTAGAGAATGAAAAACTGCACAACATATATAAAATTCAGCCTGGGATCTCTTCATGCTGAAACACAGCACGAGTTATACTGTTTATTTGCACTGATCAAAAGGACTACCCCTTGACTCATATTTGCTCTATAAAAGTTAAATTATTAGCCATTATATTATATCAACCTAGCTCATTTTATTCAGTTTTCAATTCTCTATCTTCCTATGTATACCACAAAAAATTTCAATGATTTACTGAAACGCAAGCTAGTAGATCTTTTATAGAATATTTTTTCTTATTTTTCCACAAAAAGGTCCGATAGTGCCAAAAGTTGGTCTTGGCTAACTTTTCATAGGAAGAGTATTAGAACCTAAAATTTTAGGGTTAGTAGTTTTAGACATTGAGGTTTTGAATGAGCAAAAAAAAATCGAAAAAAAAATTTTATTGAGTGCCTCGTATACTCGATGCTCTCATGGACGCTCTGTTAATTTAGAAAGATAAACTATAGCAAGTTCATCATCAGGAAAAAAAAACAGTTAATGAGAAAAGATTTTTTTAAATATACTATTTTCATCAGTAGATGGTTTTGTCGGAATCAATTAATTAACTACAAATGAATAAATAATTTATTTTATTATTTCCGGTATAAAAATGCAATAAACTTAAACAATAATTTTTCAACCAATAATAAATTTTAAATAGAACTATATTAATTGTTCTCATATTTCAAAATAGTATATTTTCTAACTTTAAAAAAAAAAACAAAATTCAAAATTATTATGTGTAAAAATAGTGTTCTTCAAATATTGGGAAATCTTATCTTTTATTTGCATATGTTTTTAGAGTATAGGTAAAAAAATTATCATTGAATACTATGATAGTCGTCCTAATTTTAAAAACTATTTTTTTTTTGTATCGAAATAGAATTTTTCAATAAAATCTTAAAATAATAAATTGTTTCATTAATCGAAAAAACATTTTAAGTTGATTGATTATAGCCATGTACCGACACTTGAACTTGGATTCGTCGTTCTAGAACTATTAAGCCAATGTTGACAATTTCAAGTATTTGCATGACTATCCAAGCGTTTCTTGATCAATATAGACATTTATGACAGCATATTAAAGTTCGATCAAATCTGAGTTCAAGTATTTCTGAACATTGTTGACTTTCTTTTTGAAATGCTACTTCGATTTTCTTTCATTAATGATCTGAAAATAACAACAGTCAAAGCTGATGTTCAACCGAACTCATTCTATTCGAACGGCCAGGCTCAATGAATTCTAGTGAATTATAATCCTAAATACGATCCTATTGTTTATATTAATTTATTTTCATATAGATAAGTGAAATCATGAGAAATTTTAAAAAAAAACTTTTCGACTTCAATGCTTTTCATGAGAGAAAAAAATCAAGTTCTATCGACTTTATAAACACAACAATAAACTGAAATTTTTTCATATGAAGAAAATATTGATTTCATGTCCAGTACCATCCAGTGGGGGATTTAAGAGAGAGACGAAGGCAACAATCGTCTTCCTCTTTGAAAATTCATGTATATTATACTCTAAATATCTTTGTATTTCTACAAGATTTACAGACATACATAATGTGTATTTCTCATTATTTTAAAGTTTATAGTGTTTATATTCTCAAATAAACGGTTTGAATGTAGGACAGCAACTTATATATGTTGTACATAGTATTATTGCATTTATCAAATACT